TACTTTGAAATCTTGTAAGAAAATTAGATATTACTATTATTCATTGTAAGCCCCTCAAAAATCCACTAGAAACCCATTACGAAGCCAAAAAATAACCATAGGTTTTTCCGGTTTTGGGCCTGAAAAACCAGACCCAAACCGAACTGAAAACGGTCGGTTTGGACCAAATCTGGTTCGGTTTGGTTCTTTTTTTTTTTTTGCTTTCTGGTTTGGTTGTTTTTTAAAAATAAAAACTGAATCAAACCAAAAATGATCACCTCTAGTCATGGTCATAGCTCGAAAATCTCTCCTGTTTTTGTTATGTTAATTGGCATCCATTGAATTAAAAAAAAAAAAATGCTTTATTGGACCGTTGATATTCTGATTTTTTTTCTTTGAAATTAATGCAATAAATCAACATTATGTAGTTGGTTTGGTAATGATTGAACAAGTTGTGTAATGATTTTTCTAAGAACAAAATTGATTGCTTTTAATTTGATCTTTTAATTCATGTCTTAATTTCAAATTTATTATAATGTAATTGCTAATTAAGACATGTACATTGCTTAAAAAAAAAAACGACTTTTTAATTTGCTCTACTTTACATTTGTGTTTTTTTGTCTATTTTTCCACAAAATTTATTGACTTAGTTGCTGGAACTAATTATTTTCAATGCTAAATTTGAAAGGCTGAAATATGTATTATTCTCAAAGAGAACACTCAGCGATGAGAAATTAAGAGAAAAGGATTGAAAAGTTAAAAGAGTAGTATTCAAAGGTAAGATTTTGATTTTGTAGAACAATTATTAACACTATTTTGTTACTAATAAGATTAAGAGAAAAGGATTGAAAAGTTAAAGTTGTTATCTATTTTATTTTTTATTTTAATTATAATTTTTTTTAATTTTTATTTTTAGGTTTGGATCCTTTCATATAACTTTTTATTATTATTTTATTTTTAATTGGTTGGTACTTGAGCTTTACTATTTTTTTTTCATGTATGGTGTGTCTAATTTGATAAACTAGATAATAAATTTAAAAAATTAATACAAGTTAACTTTTTTTTTTTACTTATTTTTTTATTTCATTATTCAAATTTATTTTTTTAAAGTGGAGTTTTCTTTGATTTCTTGTCTATAATATTATTATAATCTTATGATATAGACTATAAAATTTGATAGGTTAACTCAAGTTAACTTGCTTTTATTATCTAAATTACATATTTGTTATGTTAATTTGAGTTAACTCG